AGTAATCTAATAACCGAGACAACAACTTGATAGTGCAAGGTTTTGAAAGTGTTACAAACCCACGTTAAGACAAACATGCATTTCACCGGTCGTGGAGATAAGTTTGAAGACGGTCATTTCTGTCTTCATGAACAACTCCTACTTCTGCTCTAGAGTCAACGAGATAGCGAACTTTCGTCATCACGTCAGTGATGCATATCGGGTAACTATTTCCACCGACTGCAGTTGACGTTGACTCGTGCCAGCAGGAAAGTTTCCTCAAAGGCTTTGTCGTGAAGAAAAATTTGAAATTTGAGAGACTACATGGTTTTATTTCGTTTCTTGAGGACTGGCCATGACACCTACATTATTTAGCGCTAGCTCTCTCACGGTCTAGAGGTAGATGCATTTTCATGACAGGCTTCTTTGGGTAGTTTTAAGGTACCACGATTATGATGATCATTAAAGTACCGAAGAAGAATGTTATGGAGATGTGTGATGTTATTTCGCATCGCTTGAAGATGCTGGTGTTCTGGTAATCTCCAGAATCGAGTTGCGAAATACAGCCAGTTCGCCGACAAAATTGTTCCAAAATGAGTTGAGAATTGCTAGCACCTGTTGGGGAGGCCTAGATGAGTACAGTTATCTAAAAAGGCTCCCATAGAAAGTTTGCGTATGTAGCAACCTTTTCATTTGTGAGGCATGTTGTGATTCGACGTTGTTGAAGAGCTGTTCTAATACCTGACGATCGATCACGTTTCGCCGTTTGAGGATGGCCGTTTCCAAAGTGTCAAGGGTTCAAAAACATCACTGACGTGCCTCTTTAAATTACTCAGCAGTGCCATTACTACTGCGAAAAATTACGAACGTTGGTCTATTGCTCTGTGCACGTAGCAGTCAACTTCTGATCAGTAGAACCAGGTTTCAGGCCAGAAACGCCTTGATGTAAGCGATGTAAGCGCAAAGATCTTTAAAAGTTTGGATATCTGGTTCGTTATTATGAGGATAAAATATATAAATGGGTGAAGAAATTCTAGGATAAAATAATAATTTCAAAATATGTAAAAAAAGTGATACACTATGTTGTAACAAAGAACAAACAGTACCAAATTAAATCGAGATCATCACTAAAAGTGGCACAGATATACAGAGTTAAGAAGATTTTTGACACTAACACTTTTATGATCAAAGGATATCATACCAGTCAAATCGAAAGACAATATGAATGAATTCGAAGGTGTATTCTGAAAGTTGTCGATATGCTAAAAAGCATTCGATCTAAGCTGACTAGCAGTTACAAGGGATGAGTAGCATGGGATACATGCTTGTGATTTGGTGCAGATATGTGACCAAGTGCCTTCAGCTAGGATGCGTTCAGTGAAACTAATGAGATCCACATCAATGTCAAAGGCTGACACAACTAGGATGCGTTCAGTGAAACTAATGAGATCCACATCAATGTCAAAGGCTGACACAACTATTCAATTTTAGGGACTTATTTATGACTACAATTAACTCTACGCAAGACTTCCCTAGCCCATAAATTATCGATCTCGTAAGTGGAATTCTCTAACCCAAGAGAAAACGAATTTAGAATTATCGGTGAATGAGTAAATGCGCCATGGCGGCTCCATAGTCCCCTCTAAGAGCCTTCAAAATCTGTCCCAGTGATTACTGGGCGATCGGAATATACTAGTAAAAGAAAGTTAAACAAACCTCATATAGGTGGACTACCTGTCCATTCACGTAAGGCTCATACAGACAAACAGGAAGAAGCTCACGAGTTCCAAATTGAAAGCATAAACTGCTTATACATGAACGTCGCGAGTCTACCAAACAAATTGGATGAACTACGTGAACTTAGCAATGCTGATAGGAATATCTGAAACCTGGATATCAATTCTCGGACTATGAGTTAGCATTACCTGAGATGTCTTTGTTCCGCAACAACAGAAAATCAGGATATGGGGGCGGAGTAGCTGTTTACATACGTTCTTGCTTGGAGGTGCATCAACTTCATAACCTCGAGTTTAACAATCTTGAGGAATCTATATGGTGCTCTGTAAGATTGTCCAGTACTTCGAGGTGTCTAGTCGGAGTCGTTTACAGGAAGCCAACTGCCGACATCGAGTACGATAGTTGTATGCTGGAAGGACTATCCCACTCTACTCGTCTCGGTTTCACACACATCCTGATTCTAGGGGACTTTAATCTCCCTAGAGTCAACTTCGCGGAACACACGTATACTGGAGGCGACAACTCAATTGAAGCTCGGTTCTTCAACCTTATCAATGACTTAAGATTGTACGAAAATGTGAGGTCGGCCACTCGTTGGAGAAACAGTCAGACGCCATCGCGCTTAAAATGTGTATTCACAAACGAAGAATTTCTAGCTGACAACCTCTCAATCTTGGCTCCCCTGGGAAAAAGTGATCATGTCAACATAGCCTTCAGATTTGTCACCAAAACTAAGCTAAGATACCCCACCATTATCTCGCGTTGGAATTTTAAACGGCTGAATGTGCCAGCTCTATACGACTATCTAAAACAGGTGGTTTGGGATGTTCATCCCCAACTCGATGTGGACGGTCATTGGGACTTCTTACGTGCTACAAACCATTCAGTTCCTCAATCGGTTCTCAAAAGCTGCAAGTCACCTACAATATTCAAGAACCGTACCCTTCGCTTTCCATGCCGCAAAAGGCACTGTTGGACAGAATACAAACGAACTGACAACGACGGAACGTACAGGTAATATAAACATATCAGGAACATATGCACGAAGGCTATAAGAGAAGACAGACTCCAGTACCAGACAAAGCTTATGATCAAACTTGCCTCTAATCCTAAAAGCTTATTCCGTTATGCAGCCTCTCTTCGTCAAGCCAAAACTGAAGTTTCCCAACTGCTAGATCTTAACGGCCCGACCAACAACGATGGGGACGCCGCTAACCTTCTGGCTGAACAATACTCCCAGACATTTCAACCGACCGACATTAACTTTACTGATGACAGTTTCGTTTGCAATTCCACAGGACTTTCCGAAGTGAACCTAAGCGCTGACTTGGTGTTCCGGAAACGGCAGCACTTAAGATAAGACACTTCTCCTGGCCCGGACATGATCCATTCCGCTATACTGAGGGAAGCAACCTCAATCTTGGCAACGCCGCTTAGCATGATGTTTTCAAACTCGCTAAGTCGAGGAAAACTACCGGAAAATTGGAAGCTGGCTCACATCACACCAATTTTTGAGGGAGGTCGACGCAGCGAACTATCAAGTTACTGACCGGTGGCTCTTCTCTCAATAACTTCAAAAATCATGGAGTCCCTGATATGTGATGGTATAAACGACTATTACTGTTCTTAAATTTCTTCTCACCCAACAGCACGGTTTCAGGAAGGGTTACTCATGTATTACCAACCTGCTGACTGCGATGGACAGATGGACAAGCATCCTTGATCACAAGAGGAAGGTTGATATCATTTACCTTGGTTTCTCAAAAGCTTTTGATAAGGTTAACCATACATGTCTTATCAATAAGCTCAAACGATTGGGTATCAGACCACCTCTAATCGATTGGCTCACTTCATACCTGAAAAATCGACATTTTAAGGTCAGGGTTAATTTCACTTTATCTCAGGCTATGGAATGTCCTAGTGGGGTCCCCAGGGCTCAGTACTAGGACCTCTTCTCTTCTTGATCTACATAAATGATCTTCCTCAACAGGTAACGTCAGACTTATTACTTTCTGCCGACGACGTGAAACTTTGGAGAGAGATACGCAACCGAGACGATATACAGGCACTCCAGGAGGATCTGACTTGACTTAAAAGTTGGGCAGACGATAACGGACATCCCTTTAACACTTCAAAGTGTAAAGTAGTCCATCTGCGACATGTCGCAAACTATAGTTTTAACTTAGGTAACTCCTCTCTAGTAGTATCACAAGTAGAAAAATATTTAGGAGTCTTGGTGCCTTATGATTTAAAGTCTTACGCTAACTGTGACAAAAATGCCTTCCGAGCAAACCTTGCACTGGTAACATTGAAGCGCACTTTTGGCCAGTTTGACGGAAGAACTTTCCATATAATCTTCAATAGTTTTATCCGTCCCCATTTAGAGTACGGAAACATAGTATTTCCCCCCTCACTCCAAAAGGCTAAGGACACCCTGGAGCGTATTCAACGGCGAGCCATGAAATCAGTTCGGGGACTCAAATTCAAACCTTATGAAGAGTGCCTCCATTCACTTAACCTTTACCCATTAGAGTATAGACGTCTTAGAGGTGACCTTCTGATGGCTTATAGTATCCTTAACACTTCTGGACATCCTCCCAAACACCTACTTTAGCTTAGTTCCAACACTAGCCTAAGAGGTTAGACCCAAAAACTGGAGACACAACATAGCAGAACGGAATGTAGACACAACTTCTACTCCTTAAGAGTTGTCAAATGCTGGAATTCGCTGCCGGCCGAGCTAGTCCAAGAGACTTTCCAGGAGTCCTTTAAGAGGCAACTTGATCTATTCTTAAGGACTAAGGATAGTATCGCGCTATGATTTGTCAATTTCTTTTCCTGTTTTCTTGTTAACATACCTAGGTTCCTGTCTGGAGGATTTGGTTATCCTCTGCTACTAGACACGGAAGCCTGTTAAGCGAAAGCTTCTTCTATTTCGTCCATTTGAACCATTTGAACTGGGATATAAACACGTAAACTGCTAAAAACCATTTTGAGAACTGGAAGAATCACAAAAAGATTAGTTATTCAATCAATAGAAAGTCGTATCATTCTTTCTCTTTCAGGTTTTTATTCCAGTGAGAAACAATTAACAGCAGCGTTCCAGCAATCTATATCTTCTAGGAAAACATTAATCATAATTTAAAAATTTCTTCATTGCAAACAAATAGCTGAATAAGCTCAAACCGATCTTTGCATATATCTTTAACTTTAAAATTACACTGAGACACTAATGTAAAATAAGTTGCTCGGTTGGTATTCCGAATCATGAGACATTGAACACCAAAGTCAGAGCGTTCCGTTTCAATAATTTTTAAGTTGTCGCCCTTTCTGGATTACTCGGCCTTTTTCGGGATAATGTATTACGCGTTTCCATTCTAAACTCACTGTTTTCGTAGTTTTTATTTACAATAAAATGTTTGTGTTTTGAAACTTTGTCTTGAGAAATGGAATTAATTTATTAATTTACGAATGATGGTTTCATTTCATACATAGGTCGAGACAGCCAATAACTATGAACCTAAAGGTTAACGATTTGATCACTTTTCATCTATTATTCAACATCATAAATGCAACGACTTTCCAGTTGATATTCCTCTTAACAGATAAACCGTGTCCGCTAGAACATGACGGACTAGTAAATCCTCTAAAGAAATAACGCTTCATGAAAACGTAGAAAAAGGTCTAGAAGCTATTATCATAAAGTAAATAAGATAAACAAATTTACATATGGATTGAAACAAAAGCTTACCCATAGAAATAATCCGCAATGGCAGTGATTTTAATATTACGATACTGGTTTATTAGGAAGCGCATAGTTTTTTACAGTCATCATACTGATAATCTTCAAGCTCACGTTGGTTTTTTGATTTAGTCGAGTCACGTAACAGGGTTCAGAAGAAGTGGCGAAAATTTGGTCCATTCAGTCAGTCAAATGCAACTTAGAACGTGGTACGCATGTACATCGGTTCAAGTTGTCATACTGCATCAGCACAGTGATATGAAATTGTCAAAGAAACTTCCAAAGTATTAAGTTCCAAATGTAGGCCATGTGTTGATCGTCTCACTTATAGCTGTATATTACACTTATTTCACCAAGGGGCCACGGTGCGTTTAGCCGACAAATTATTATTGGTTGTTGTACGAATATGGTAAACTTTAATTGTCGATTTAAAATTGTCGGGATTGGATTAATCTCTAGCGACACATTTTGTGAAAAATGGTGATAATCGAAAAAAACTTGTGCCATATGCCAACAATTTCATTTATAGTTCATATGGCTTCTAATAGTACTGATTGACCTTGATAATTCGAATAAGATTATAAACAACATTATCAGGGAAAGCTTAATTGTTTACTAGTCGACTTATCATTTTCTTAGCAATGATATGCATGACAAAAGTTCATAAAAAGTTCGGGGACTTTTCAGGGCATTTCGTGATCATATTTGGAATAGGATGATTCTCAGATGAACAACATGAAATTAAACCAATGTTCATCTCGGGATTTAGATATGCACTTATTGTAGCACTAATCATATGATCTTTAATAGTAATAAGTCACCCTTATAAGTTGTGTAGTCATTTCTGGTCTTTTTTAACATAGAGAATATCTTCCGAATATTTAATATTATTTTTTTCTGTTATAGATGCTTGTCATTAATTATTCATAGTCTTAGAACATAAAGATGCTATGAATTCCACTTTACACTCTGCGGACTCTAGTGTTATCCAAACCAGTTTATTTGGTCAGTATAACAGGGCTGGGGATCCAACTAGCCTATGGTGTGATGAATCTTTGGAAAACCCAGACTCTATGTTGGATCAATGCAAATGCTACACAAGTACTCCAAGTTCTTTTTCCACTACTTCAGACAGCACATCTTATTCGCGTGATCTTTATGTTACATCTAGACTACGCAGTCGGTCTGAAGAGAAAAACTGTAAATCGGAGCATCCCTTTTATCTGTCTCATTCTGTAATCAATTATTTAAAATTGGACAAATTATCTAACAAAATGTGTCCTGGTTGTGTACCTTGTTCTTCTTCTGATGACAAACTACGATCAAGTATGTACTCCGAAGAAAAAGACGATTTGGATGTCACCCAAAATGACTTCCAACAGGTAGGCATTAGATAGAATATAAATTGTCGATGATATTTTTCAGACTTATCGTGCCTCGTTTATATGCATCTGTCTTAGTTTTAGCGTCCAGAAAATGTAATGTTCTCTAGACCTTTTTGAGATCTAAACTTCAGGTAAAATATCAAACAGAAAGACGAGCCTTGCAGGAGTATTTTATAACCGGATTTGGAATATGATGAAATCGGTGACAAGTATTACATATAGTCATCAACTGGTGTCATCAGAATCGCTTCTTACGTCTGGTTCCGTTTAAAACATTAAACAAGACAAAAACAATAAGATTGATGAGATTAATTCATTCTCCTTCAAGATTTGTCATGAGATATAAACAGCATAAAATGACATCAAGTAATGTTATTTGGTACGAATGTTTTACATTAGTTGGTTGGTGAAATAGGTATTTTAAACAAAACATTTCACGAAAAGAAGGGAGAGGCACAGTTTAGTGATAAACAGTTACGATTACTGCGTCTTTATATACTGAGAAAAAGCTAGTCATGAAAATTATTAGGTGGGTTATGGTTACTAGTTATTATAATACAAAGTTTTGATTCATCTTAAGAATGAATTGGCTTGAAAATTGTAATTCACATCGTTGTAATGTTCCATAGTCTTTGCTTTTTACTCTTTAAGGGTAACAAATTCAAGCGCAAAGGAAACCAGTCGTTTAAATCGAGTTCATCAGTTTGGTATAGCGATAATACCGACCCAGTCCCTCCAGCGATGGCTCTCATAAATGTAAATCGACTTCATACCCAAACCTTGCATCCAGCTACATTAAATGAGAACAGAATAACTGCAGCAAATAACATTTTATATGATTTCAACACTGAGTTTGATGTCTCTGGATCAAAAATATCAAAAACATTTTTGAACGCTTCAAGAAAATCTCTTCCAGCAATCCATCTTGATCGTGATTTAGAAGTAAGCGGCAGTAGCGGTACCAGTAGTCTTTCATATACGGCTGTGATTGGTAACGAGACGGAATATATTCAGCCGGATAAACGCTTAGAGCCATTCTTTGATGAATCTAACAAGCACTACTTAAATTCTCTGAATTTCGGGCAAACCGGTGCATCCGCGAGAGATTCTGGCTTAAGTTCACATTCAAGCAATTCTGTAAATTATTCCCCTAACTATCTTCTTCTCCCTCATAAAAGATTGGTTCCTGAGTGTAAAACTAGTCTCTCTTCGACACCTCCACCAGTTCCACGTCACGCCCCTCAATCACAAACTATGGTTGCACTTACACAAAGGAACGGAAATAGTAAGATATCTTATTTCGTTTAATAAAAAATGAAGTGGTTTTTACTTTTTTTCATCTTTCACAATATCATTATAAGGAAAGATAGACAGAGGCTAGCATTGGAATCCAAGGCGTGCGTTTCGTCCTGTTTGGGACTCGTCAGCCGGATATACTTGCATCTCAGAGGTGATGTTTACTCTGGGACTCAAACCCAGTACCGTTCGCTTCAAACGCCATCGCGTTATCCACTTAGCTACCGAGTCCTAATAGCTACTTGATTACTTGCTAGCCACTATCCATCTCTGCTTATAATGGCTGTGAATTAAGAAAATATCGAGGTTATAAGCACAGTATGTTCATATACCAACAAGAGACTCATCAATTACAGTTCTAAATATCAATAGGAAGATTCAAGTAAACAATACCAAGTGAATATCATAATATCTTTGTTTGGAACGAACTCATTATAGTATATTTCGAGCATTCGCATCATATATGAAATGATTCTAAAGAGTTTTTGTCAACCGTTGGGATATTTGTATAAATCAAACTCTGATTAGCTATTAAAAAACCATTAAACTTTCACAATTTGATTGATTGAGGGTCAAGTAATCAGAAAAACGCCAGTAAATGAAGTTGGAAATAAATGTTTGAATCATTTTGACAACTGCTGTATCATACCCCTATTCACTTTTATTCCATTAAATGCTGCATAACAATGATATAGGTCTAATATCCTTTAGCGATATAGTTCAGCAGTTTGTTAGGGAAGTTAAGGCGGTAGAAAAACTCTATCCTAATCCCGTTGACTCATTTTAATAAGGGTGTGAATCATTCAAGCAACCTCAGAACTTCTGTATCGCCATTCCTAATATTCTCTGAAGTAGTTTTTTCAAGACCTCGAGATATTTAGTTTGTTTTCCTGCATAGCATTTATGATTTTTAGTTAAATAAAGTACGCTGAAGAACTCTTACTTTTTATTATTTTAACTTGATCAAAAATCCCTTATAACCGTCAACCTGAGCTGTACTGTATTGTCGATGTGTTGATAAGAAGCGCAATGCTGTATTGGCTGATAGCGGGTTAAAAATTCTTATGATTTAGAAATTGCGTAAATACTTTTCCGCTTACGAAATGAAACCCTTACATAGTTATATGTTACCACACGGAGCGGTGGCCTAGTGCTTACGGTATTCGTCATTCAGCCATTAAAATCCAGGTTCCAATCTGGTTCCACCTACTTGGATTTTGGCAACGGAGTTATATTATTAGCCCTTACACTAAGAGTGCGGCTAATCCCCAAGTATTTAATAAGTGAATTAATTTTTCCATAAGTTATTTCATTTTTTGTTACCAATAGTCAGTTTTCTAGCATCTTATTTTTATACTAGCTTAAAACGTTTTCTTTGTTAGAGTTTCAGTTCGTATTAACTCTTAGCTACAACTCATTAATGAATAGAAATGAAATATTCCCATAGTTCTCTAAATGCCATATGTTCTTTTGTACACTTAACCAATAATTTAGACATAACTGATCAAAGATAGAATAAGTTAGGAACGCGTAACTTCAGAACCGACTGATAACGACTTTAATGCTCAACTAACATCACACTTAATATTTTTAACTCACTAGTTACATTATACCATTTTGCTCTCTGTTTAAAAATATCACCTTTTTAATACATGTTTTGTTTTGTATTAATTTTTTAATAAATAAATTTTTTACATTCAAGATATCTTAAATACAACCAATTTAGTACGTTGTGAAACTGACCTTACAAAGTGTACATGCTCTAAAAGTTCAAGCAGTAAAATGGTAGAAGGAAGAATTCGTGGAACAACTATCCGATTGCATTCATATACGGGAGAATCTAAAACTCTCTTAAAGGTAAGTAAATAAACGTGATACACATTGTCTTTAACTGAGCATCAATCTATTTCATTACGGCTTTATATTATCCTCACATCACTTTACTGTAATTCTCTTACTGTACATTTGATAAGACTTGGCTTATGGTAATCAATAGATTGCTCTTAGTAAGAAGAGCAATAATAAAGTGTTGGTTTGCAAACCAACTATGCTCAGTTTTTTGTAGACATTCGATAAAATTTAGCTAACGATAGACACAATCTTTGCATTAAAAGAGTTGTTTTCCTCATACATTTAGTATATGTTCAGTAATTTCTAATTGATGAACAAAGTGATAGCTAGGTCAATGTTTTCATACTTTACTCCCAGGATTTTTGTAGCTTAGTCTAACGGGAAATTAGTCAATATCATTCGCAGACATGCGTAGACTTTAATTTTAGGAATAGGTTACAGATTATTTGACGTTTTTGATATTGAAATCTACGCTTAATAATATTTCTGATTAAGGAGAGAGTTATAATCATTATTAGGCCTGCAAAATCTTACTTTTCCATCATTGGTCTAGTAGTTTTGTATTCGATTTCAGACTGGATTATGATTTCATTTAGTCATTCAAATAGTCACATGTGCATACAGTATACACATGCATCAGTTCATATTGCCATGAATATATCAGTATAATAAGTTGAAATTATCACGATAAATGCCAGAGTAGTATAACTAATAATAGTAGTAGTATCTACAAAATATTCAAAACGAGCATGATAAAAATTTATTGGTAATAGTAACGGTAATTATTATACACTTTAAAAATAGTTACAAAATTCGCACCTATTCCCAGACATGATTAAATCAATACTAAAAAGAATGTAATGCCAAAAAACAAGGATACACTTTGAAAAAGTGTGATTCATATTTTATTTCAATTGAGCATTTGTCTCAAACATTTTAATAATGTAAAGCAAAAGGAATACATAATCATAGATGACAAAATTTTTGAGTACTGAGTTGTTATCAGAACTTCAGTAATAATTATCATTTTTTTTAAGTTCAGAGTTATCTTTAGTAAGTAGTGTAAGATTAACATAAGCGCATTAGGTAAATGGCATAATTACAATGTCATTTGTGTTTTGAAATCATAAATATTGTGTAGGATGCAGCGGTTAAGAACTAGTATTTTCTTGATAGGAGAGCAGACAAATCATGATTACGTATGAATGATGTAGCGAAGAGGGATCTGTGTTCTGTTTTTCATGATACTTAAAATAATCTACAGCTAAAAAAGGAAAACAAAGACACAGAGCACGGAAAAACAACAAAAATTAGTCAAGTTTTTCATCAAACATATGTTTGATTAATGCATGAACTGTTCGTTTCGATAGATTTAGTTGTACTCATAATATAAGCTTTTAATAAAATCGATGTATCATATGTAACTAAATAAGGAAGTTTACTAAGTACACTCAATGAAAACTAAGATTAATAAGTAACCTTTTTTATTATTATTTTCTTCCTTTAAATATTTTAGTCATATTTCCCAAGTGAAAATAAACAAATTAAACAAAATCCTAATTCATCTTTATCACCTATATGGAAACGTAAATCAAATACATTACAATCAGTGATTAAGGATAAAATTCAACTCATTGACGAACAAAACTATTCAAAATCAATCCAAATGACTAAATTCATAGAAGGTGGTTGTAGCAAAAGAGAAGAAAAAGATGATGATGAAGTAGGGAGAAAACGGAAACACTTAATTGATAAAGTTCAATATGAAAATACTACTACTACTACCAAGAATGATAATAATCATGACAGAGTACATAATTCCTGTCTACTTTTAAATGATTCAGTTAAACAAGATATTTGTACGGCCTGTACACTAAATTGGCAGTTTTATTTATCCCAACCTTGTTGTTATACATTTATAGATGATATGGTTAAATTTTATCATGATGTGAATAATTCTTGGTATTTTGTGAAACATGATTGTTTCCTAAATTCTATTATTCAATTGTTTAAACCTGATAGTTGTTTCAATTGTCGTAAACATATTTATGCTGTAGGCGTAAATTTATTTAATAGGTAAGTTCGTAAGAATAATAATTTGGTACAAACTCATTAACAGACTGTGTTCTAATAATTTTTATTTCAATCCAGATGGAAACAAAATTCTGAATTTGTCAATCATTGTAGAGACAAGAAACTTCTAATTTGGATGTGCAGTTGATTAGCATTCATTAGAATTCTGAACCTTCTATTTCATTCGTCATACTGATATTATTAGTAGTAAGGATTGGAATTAGACGGCAGTTGATATCAAAGACTGAAATTTGATTAGTCTTTGTTGACATATGCTCATGCTGTGCGAACTACCTCAATAGAACCATTTCGTTACAAGTTTAACAGAATAGATAGATTTTGGTTTGAAGTAAAATCCAGGACGCGCGTTTTTTTCTCTTTGTATCTCATCAGCTAGAACTACGTTCATCCCAATGTTGATATTCACACTGGAACTCTAACTCACGATCTTAAATTTCAGATACCAACACGTTATCCTCCTCATTGGATGTGCCTACACCAACAAAGATATCAACATTAAAAGGCAGGTATATCCGACTGACGAGCCCTGTATAGGACAAATCATGCGTCTTCGACTTCCACTCTGGTCACAATTGATCTGCTCTGTAAAACATCATATTACTATTTCACTTAATCGATAGTGCAGTTTTCTTCGCAAATGTTTTTTTCCAAAGGGATGAATAGATGATTGTGTTATTATTTATTTATTTTAACACATAGATATTGGCACAAGGAGGCACCAAATACATATGCGCCACACAAATCTCATTCGATATGTATGAGGGCTGTGATACTGCCCGGGTGCCCAAACCGGAGTAGATGGTTTTCTTAGGGGACCACTCCCCGAGCCTTCGACTTGAAGGTCTGATCCACAAGGCAGTGGGGTATCGTAAGGAGATGCAGTCCCATAGTAGCCGATGATCAACAATTGGTCCATACGCCATTTGTTCCTTCAGGATACTCGGGCATATGTGGACCATCAGTTTGGAATCCGGTTAAAGCGCCGGACATTTGCTTTTCGTCCTCTCATTTTTGTAAACAACACCCCCGCTACGAGAAGGCAGTGAGTAGGACTTCCCTGGCAGAGGCTATATACGCGTGGCCATGTGAGAGCATTTCGATAGGAAGAGCGAACTCTCCCCACTCTCGGTTGTACCAGGGCATTTGGGAGCTTGATTGTGTATGAAAATCTAATTCATTAGTAATCTATCAAAACATCTGGTAAAGGGAATGGTTGGTGTAATTTACTTAGATTGCATCCATATGATAAGCCATCATATTTTTGAGATAATTTGTAAAAAATGTTTCATATCGTTTTCGTTACCATTACTGTCATAAACATGTCATTTAACCTTATTAAAAAATAGACTGTTTGAAATTTCCTCCAAAACGTAAATCTATTTTGCACTGACATATGATTATGCGCCTCGTTTACAATAATATGCACTTGAGTTGCTGTGGACTTCTGTAGTTCAAGTAAAATTTAAAACAGCAGACATTACTTACCAAGTAATGACTAACTCGTTTAACTCATAAAAGGTTGATCATCTACTCTTAAGTATAACAAGTTTAAAAATCAGTTATATATTAATTAAAATCCAAACGATTTAAACTCTGTTTCTGTTTTATAGTTCTTTCATTAAATTATTTTTCGGCTATTTGAGCCCTTCATCGATTGATTACATCGGTGCTAAACTGTTTTACTGGTCTCTGATAAATATTTGACTACTCTAGAAGCTTTCTAGCGTAAGATTATAGTATTTCTTCCACTCATATCTACGTAAAGCGTCGTGCCAAAGAGCATAGATTTTGTGTCTGCAAGAAGAGGTGTTAACTTTGATAGACGTATCGCTTATCTGTTTTTGTTATGGTCTCTTTCGACATACATAATATGAACTCAGGCTATTTTGTTTTTTGACTGACTTCAACATTGACTTTTCTGCAGTCTTGATCGTTAATCATTCATTTATACCTCTCAAATGTAGTTGCGTTAATGGTAGGTTGCAAACAATGACTTATTTAAGTCGTGAAATTATGATGTTTCTTGTTCTGAATTTAAAGAGTCCTTTCCAAACTGTTTCACAGATTAATTTTACGTTATACATATACATGTTATTTCTTTCTGTAGAAATCCATTGAGAGGTCTAAAATATTTGGCAAGACATAATTTCTTAAACTTGTCTTCTAGTAAACAAATTTCCAAATTTATTCAAAATAATGCTGACTTATGTCGTTCGAAAATTGGAGCATTTCTTGGTCTACCTCCTACAGATGAGATCAACCCAACGGAAGTTACAATGTAAGTTCTTCAACTTTTGATGCCAAGTTTTTATTGTACTCAAACATTATAAGAGCTAGTGGTTAAATAATTTAATCAAAAATTAGCACTTCATTAACAACTCTTATTTACCAATAAATTCTTGGTCAGCTTTATTCAAGAAAATTTAATTAGAATGATCTTGACTAGTCATCTCAAGTACTAGAAGTTAAAAACTAGTAAGGGAGAATGCATTTGTAGTGTTCTACTAAACAGGGATTTTGTCAGTATTGAATATAATGGCTGTAGTGCAATTATCGCAACTTATACTTGGAGTGACATGGCTGGTACTGTACTGGTACTTACTATTTGACTTCCTTTAGATACTGAGCCTTAAAATTATGTCTTACTTTTTTTCTCATGGATTCATTCTTTCTTCTCAATCCATAGAATATATACTTTGTCTATTCCACTACTATTGATAGTGCTACTACTTACATCACTGTAACATTCTTCTCGATGCATTCATCCAACTATGCTGATATATATATATATATATATATATATATATATATATATATATATATATATATGATTTCACGTTGCTTATGACTGACTGATTGATTAAATAAATGAACATTGCGTCATTATTATTAGCTTTTTGTTTTATTTTTTGAATGCCAAACAAGTGATCGAATTCGTATCCCTCATTAGTTGATACTTTTTGAAGTAAATTTGTAGAATTGGTTTTACAAGTCTCCTGAACTCCTGATAGTTTTATTGATTTTTGGTGTTAAATTGAAATCAGGTAGCTAAACTGTAGGTTAGGTAAACAGTGTTTCGACAAAACGAAACTATATCTAACTGATAGATTTATTACGTAATTTCAGTGAACTTAACTGCGTAATAAATAACCTATTTACCAGGCATTAACACAGATATGATCAACAGATTATAGAACCTTTGGCCAGCTTACTTGTATGATTAGAAAAGCAATAAAAATATTTTTTAAAGTGAACTGTAAATGAAATTTTATGATTAGTAAACTTTTAATTGTTATCATAGTATACACTGTAATAGTCATTAGTTTTATAAGTACAGGGTAGTTATCTTAGTTGGTAATGTAAGAATACTATATGTGTACTAAGAAACTGATAGATGTTGTATAGGACTCATAATTTAATAATATGTATTTTCTTAAAGACAGGAGTATAATGTTGGTTAAGTTACATGTTAGTATGATCAAAATATAGCTGGTAAATTTTTATACACCTCAGTTTAACAGATTATCCTTTTCTCAATCCATCCACTTGTATTGTTGTATCATAAAGTGATATTTAACACTTGCACTTGTGATCCACTTGAAACTTTGTAGTTAAACAAACATCTGTTAATATTTACATCTTATTACCCTTCATATCCAAAAATAAGGTATTTATAGTATACTCAATCTTGTTCAAATATAATTTAACTTTTAAGTACTGACTTCAATATGTTATAGTTATTGACTGTAAGAAACGATGTGTTATAATGTTCATTTATCAGCATCTACTACTTTTGGCGTATAAATATTAATCTGAACTTTACTGTGCAATCTAATAATAATTAATTAAAGGCACTCAAAAAATATATTAATCGAAACTTCTGATTTATTATCAGTAATCTATAAACAACAATTACAGTTTCGATAAAATCTCAGTTATATTACTAAAACGGACAGTATTAAATCAAACTATTGATCTGACCGTCTGATTTGGTTCATTGCTTCTATTAAGCTTTATAGATTACTCAAAATTTTACGTCTTATCAACACCAATGATATATTTTTGTCTAGAATTTTGTTGGTAATATCATTTTGTAACTACATTTTTAACGCCAATTTCAAATCTTCGAGTATAATTGGGAAAAATTATTAATATTTAATTCACATAAAACCTGGAACACAAGATAGTATGAGCCAAAGGAAAAATATTTGCATGTTAGCTGGAATAAATATTTGAGCCCTCGAACTGAAAAAAAGTTATTTTCTTAAGGGCCATTTCCAGAGTCATCGGCCTTGAGTTCTGATCTACAAGACAGTAGAGCAATGTTCGTGGATGCTGTCATGTGGTACCCGGTGATCGAAATGAATTCATGTGCCATTCGTTCTCCCAGGATTTCGGACATCACACCATTAGTTTGAAATCAGAGCTTACCAACCTTGTCAAAGATACTCCTCGTATCTATCAACCTGGTTTAAGTGCCAGGTTCTCATTTTTTGTCCTCTCATTTTTATATACAACTTGACACGTAAATACATTGAATAGGACTTCCCTTGCAAAAGCAATGGGTATATGGCTATACAAAAGTATTTCGAGAGGGAAAGCGGACTCTCTCTAGTCTTAGCCGTACCATGGCATTCGGAAGCTTATTCCATGTGTGCGTTCTCTTAAATAGTCGATTTAATCAACTATTGATTATTTTATCTGACAAGTATATATGTATAGCGCAAATACATTTTCCGTCTTCTCATTGTTCTATCGAGACTATTTTATCATTTTCACACTTAGGTTATTTAATTTTAGTCACAAAATTCTCTACGCTTATTCCTCTTTGTTCTCTTTCTCATTTTCTAAAGCAGAAAGTATCCTATTGACCTTTATATATATATATATATATACTGTATAATGAATAGAAGGCTAGGGGTTGGTCGGACTACTAGTTGGGTTTTCTTTGTTGTTGAAAAGATAACGTTTAATGTTGGCGACTGATTCTCTGTTCTTTTGATTCTATCCTTTATTTACCTCTAAAATAATAGTAACGTTTAAGTCAGTTTAAACTGAGTTGAATGTATATATATATATATATATATATATATATATATATATATATATATATATATATATATATATATATATATATATATATATATATATATATAAAACAGAAACCATACAATTTTAAGGACACTACCAACCCAACTAATTAATTCTCATAGGTAAGAAAAACAAAGAGTAATACACTAATATCCATTGACTATCTTATTTTACCCCATTTTTATCGTTTGTTTATTACTCATAGTGAAATTGTTACCTTTCAATATGTAGTATTTATGTTGCATTGAATGATTTTGTTGTTTTTGATGGATGGGACATTTTTATCTCTATTTTTTTCTCTTTTCTAAGGGACTTCTTTAATTTTGAGCATCATGTAAAGTTGTTATACAATAAAAATGCGTAAATCCTGTATACTTATTTCTAGAATTGTATTTAATGATTCCTTAATTATTGTCTTTTAAATTGTCTTTCGTTTTCTGTAATTATGGGAGGAAAATTGCATTTAATCTCATCACTATTTTCATCTGAGGAATTTCAACAAACCTAAATATTAAAACATTTTTGTCTGTTGGTATATAAGGGATATTAGCTGAGTTCTTTGATTCTATTGCATTCACTTCAGGTTTGTTTGTCAATAAATGAAATAATGAATAATCTGAGAACAGCAAATGGTTTTTGAAGTGGTATTTATTCACATTTAATATAACCAGCTTTCACATAGGCAGTCTGTGCATGAAAACCCTTTTAAAGGAACCGGAATATGCTAAATAATTTGATCATTACAAATTGACCAATGCGAATTAGTTCAGGTAATTTGATAATTGAGATTTTAATAAATAGTCAGTGTTATTATCTAGTCCCAAGACTAAATTTATACTGCTAGTGATTATTAGTGTTGTTATCGGGATATAGATGGGATTAAGGCATGTTCCGTGCAGGATTGTGTTAGAGCACGTTGATTCAGTCAGCTGCAACTTAGAATCTGGCACATTACTGCATCGGTCCAAGTTTCCATACCTCATTAGTACAACACGATGCACAATAAATTCATAGAAGTAGTTACTTCCATGGTAGTAAAAAGAAATTTCGTATTAGGATATGATGCAGGGAGAAAGAATTAGTTCGTAGAAATAAAGATACAAAGTAATTTTAATCTCACGGTTTAGGCGAAAACAATGAAGGTGTACACTTACGCCATTGTGATCGATTTTAAGCCATATCACCCCGAGTCTCCAACCATTGGTTAAGATAGTCGCACAGACCCGAACCAAGTAGTTTGCATCTACCAATATGGATGACTTTATAAACTGGGCACTCTGGTTGGCTATTTTTATCCAATCAGCGCTAATGGATACTTGAGGATGACTCTAGAATTTACTTATGTAAAAACTATAAACATACTAACATTTCTCTTATTGTGATTTCTACTTTCATCCTAATTTTTTATTTGGAATATGGTGACATTTCTGTCCAATCGTGTTTGATTTGGGGACTTCTCAAGTGAATTAGTGTTTAAGAATACTAAGCAATAAGAGTAGATGGGTCATAATAAGATAAATTATAACTAATTTCCAATGTTACTTGAATGTGATCACTTATTTTAATCATTAGTGTGTACTGTGAATAAATATTTTAACAATTTCATTAGTGGGAATTTCTACTTGGTAAGTACAATATAAAAGTGATTTTACTTGCATAATGTTAAAACTAATCTACCCTTAGAATAATCAATATTATTATATAGGACATCTTAGCTTCTCAATAGTTGTACTTCAGTTACAAAATCCACAACTTGATTTTGTTGTTTCTCGTCATCAAACTGAATTTTCATAGAATAATTAGTTATATATTTACAGAGAATGTTTGTCAGTGTATTCGGCGTATGCAGTCTACCTACAGGACAAAATTTAAACAAGGATGTTTTTATGTATCGAAATAAATTGATTGGGCAGCAAAAATTTTACGATTTTACGACCATTTATTCGGTATTTTTAATCCTAATTATTTCGTAAAAAACGCATAATTCTTATGCGATTTAATCGACAAGTTAATGCTCCACTTGAAAATTAATTGACTTCATAAATGATGAATTTTCATTACAACTATATCAATATTATATGGAATTCGATCAGCATTAGTTTCTGTAAATTGTCTATAATATGAAAGTAATTTTCACCACAGGTTAGCATAACTGAAAGAGTTAACGAAAAGTAAGCAACATCAAAC